AATAAATGGTATATTCCTACAATGAAGTATTTATAAAGTAAATGAGATGAATCAATTATTTTTACTTGTAACAACAAGAATGAGCCTCACTAACAAAAGTTAGACACAAAAGTGTATCTACTATATGACACCATTCACTTAAATTCCAAACCATGTAAAACTAATTCATGTTTTTAGAGGTCAAGATAATGGTTACCTTTGGGATGGAGCATGGGTAATTAATTGAGAGGGGGTAAGAAGTGTGTTTCTGGGGTGCTGGTTATGTTTTATCTCATGATTTGAGTGTTGGTTACTTGGGTATGTGCATTCTGTGAAAATTCTTTATAACTGATGTAATTTTTTGTGTGTATGTTACATTTAAATAAGTAAGATCTTTGGAGAATAGGTTGAAGCAGAGCAAAATGAGGTCAGGATTTAGGAATTTCTAATAATTAAAAAGCAGACAGATTTGAGAGGCAGTAGAAAATAGTCTGGTCATGACTTGCCGATTAATTCAATATAGGAGCCTTATAGGTTGAGTAGTTTTGCTCCCAAAAGATGTTTGAAATCCTAACCTCCATTGTCACGCAGTGTGACCTTATTGGAAATGTGGTCATTGAAGATATAGTCAGTTAAGATGAGGCCATACTGGAATAGGATGGGCCCTTAATATGATATGACTGGTGTCCTTACAGGAAAAGAGACAGATTCATGAGGGGAGAATGTGACAGAGATGGAGGTTGGGTAATGTAGTTGCAAGCAAAGAAATGTCAAAGATGGATTGTCATCACAAGAATCAAGGAGGTAAGAAAGGGTTCTGCTTAGAGTTTTGGAGGAAGCATGGCCTTGCTGGTGCCTTGATTTAAGATTTCCAATTTCTAGAACTGTAAGACAATATATTTCTTTCCTTTAAGCCACCCATTTTGTGGCATTTTGTTACATAAGTATTAGCAAACTAATACAGGGAGAATGGAAAAGACATAGGTAAGGATGACTACCTGTTTTCATTATCCAAGGGGAATGGGGCAACTGAATTGACCAAACTGAATTTTTAACATGGACCATCAAAGCAACATTTAAACATTTAATTATGGGTACAATGATGTTTTTAGCAGGTGGGAGAACATAATACATCAAGGTTTGGGCACCTGAAGACAGTGTTTTGTTTCTCATTCTACATTAAGCCAGGAATTCACCAAAATCTCCTTGTCCAGTCAGGAATATATCTTCTCAAAGCATTTTGGAGTAGGGTTACACCATCCCTAACAGGTGTTTGGAAGAATGGCAGCACGGGCACAGGTCAGTGTTAGCAGTGAACATGTCCCTTCTTGTTTTTTCCAACTTGTGGGAACAGCTGGAAGTGGAACCCTGGAGACACAGCCTCTCTTTTATTATGCTCCTGAAAATCTGTACAAGGAAGCGGGGTTACTGCAAATTTGTCGCATTTCCCTTTCTGTTTCTCAATTCTGAGTAATAGGATATTTGTTAAGGCCTGTATTCTTTTCATCTTTTCAGGGGCAGAGGGAGAAGGCACCATGTCAGAGACTTCTCTCCAGGGCACCATGAGAGGGAGAGGCACCAAAGTCTTTCTAAGTTTGTGTTTCTGTGTCTTCCTCTTTTTGCAGTGGGCCTTTGACAAGGCCTCCTTCCTGTTCGAGCAGATTTTATTCAGGGCCTGCATGTGAATTCAAATAAACTTTCTCATTGTTTTTTCTCCTGCTGAGACAGTGGCAATGTTGGGACATTGGTGGGAAATGCCCCACAAATCCATCACTTTCAAAGCTGTCTGAGCTCATTGTTAGATCCAGAAGAAAAATAACTGATATGATTAGAAGAAAAGTGAATGGATATTGTAAACTCCTATTGATACTAAATTCTACTTGGAGTTAGTCTTGGACATAAATATCATAAAATTATATGTAAATGTACTCATTAGTATACTGTAATATTGAACATCTATTTTGTCTCTGGGCAATTTTTCTTAGCACAAAAGCTATTACTACTGTTATTAAGAACAGTAATTGATTTTCCATTTTTAAAAAAGTTGGATATTCCCCCCTAGTTCTATTTTATCTTTGCATTTTTGCCATGCATTCCAATAATATTTTCCTAAGGCTTGTTAAAGAATTACATTGTGCTCTAATAATTCCAAGGGCAAAGGGGAGGTAGGGCATGTGGTGTTATTGGAGAGGCTATTTTAAACTCTAGAGGACCCGGAAAACAGACCTCAGGATGAGAAATGCCCAGAATGAAGGGTTTCATGCTAAGGATTTGATTATATTGTGTGTGGTTTCATCTGAATGTCATTGATCTTATTTTGTAATTAAATGCTTTGATAAAGCCAACTAAATACTGCTAGAGTCAAAATACAGTTTTATTAAAAGTATTTAAAACTTACAAATCAGCCATATAGATTAGTTGTGGTATGGATGCTTTATGAGTTCTTTCAAATGATTGTTTGATTTCTATGTTGGTATAAATTCATCTAAGAAAAAAAGGAAATACTTTAAGTTTTTAATGATATTTTTAATTAAAAACTTTATTTATTTCAAGTTATTATTATTTTTGCTGGACATGTTCCATCCTCACAAATAAACTTTTTTGGGGGGAATAAAAATATTTTGTATATTTGCTTGATTTTGCAGGGAGAATATATAATTTTATGAATGGAAATACAGTATTATGTAGCCTGAAGGGCAAATGCATGAACTTCTCTTTGCTATTATGTGAATCCATTATTTTTTTAAGCGTTTTCAGGGCTCAGCTAAAGACAAAATGAGCACCAAGCACATGTATACTCGTATATGTGTGTGTGTGAGTGTGTGTGTGTGTGTGCTTAACAATGTGTCTTTCACACCATCAAATGCATTAGGCACAGGAGATTTAGAAACCATTTACTTGTAACAAAATGAGGAGGAGATATTTTTCAGATTAAAAAAATACATACCCATTTTCACTGTTGTGAAAGAGAAAACATGTCAGCCTTTGTGATTCAGGATGCCCATCAGGTAACATTTTTTTTTCCCTGAAAAAAAAAGTATTCTTCCTGCTAGTTCCATCCTGTGGTAGGTAAATAGGCTATTACCCACATTTATTTAAATCTGCTTACAGAAAGCCAGAAATACAGTGGTGTTCTCAATGTGAGGTAGATTGTATAGTTTGGATATAGATGGTTTGAGGAAACACATTGGCTATTTATACTTTACTTTATTTAGTAAGATCTCTCTTAAGCCCCTAAGGCAGTGTATTTGTTAGGATGAAGGTGGTAGACTCTCAGCTATCAGCCTCAATTGAAATCTCAGCTGTATTACTTAGCAGTTTGTGTGACTGCCAGCAACTTTTCTAACTTCTGTGCGCCTGAGTTTTCTCATATGTCACAAGGAGAAAATTATGATATTTTATAGAGCTGTGGGGAGGATTTAAAACATTTAAAAGATTGAGAATAGTGCCTGGCACATAGTGAGAACTCATTATTAAAATAAAAAAAAATGAACGTGGCCAGCTGTTTGTTTCTTCACCTGGCCTGTGGTAACCATTTTGACTTTCTTATTTGGGAAAAGGAGATGGAAGAAAATGTTTTTAAAATTATATGCATATATTAATATTATATTTAGAAATACAGACAGTGCTCATTTTAAGGAAATCAGCAAATTACAGAACTTCTTCAGCTACTATTGTATTACTTTGCACTTTTAACAATCTGGCTGTGAGTGAATTAGGAATGTTGTTTAGACTATATAAAAAGCTGTTGGTAGTTTTTTCAGCTTTTATGATCATTATTATTGGTTTAAAGTCAGATCCTCATGGAGTTTGTAACTCAGTTCCCAGAGTTACTTAATAAAAATATTACGAGAGAAAGCAAGATGTATGGTAACACCTAAGCAATGATCAGTCTTTAAACTGACTAGAATGATGTCATTCTAATTTGTGTATGGGGGATGGGATAAAAGGTGAGGGTAGGAGTAGAGGAGAGGGGGTGGTTACTTCATAGTAACAGTGACTACAGGTTCCTGTAAATGCTCTCCATTCATTCTTCATAAAAGTCATAGGGAGAAACATGGGTACTGCCCCTTTTTTTGTAGGGAAGAAAAAGGAAACTCAATGTCTTGATGGAGAATGCATCACAAAATAGGAACGACTAATATCCTATCTATTGTTTATCCCACTGAGATCTTCTGCCTCTCTGGTTATAGTGATGGGTGATAAAAATTAATTAGAAGCTGGAATCTGATTTTAAGATGGGATGTCAGACACATATATCAAGTTGTTAGGTTAGCTGTAAAGCATAACCTGGGATTTATATATTTGGAAGTCATAATAAATCTGTCTGTTATGAAAATCAGATTACCCAGTGTTGCATGCTAATGGCTTATTGTCCTGTGGAATTGTAGTCTCTCTAGCAGCTGCCCACTGGCTCTGCTTTTCTCTGACTTGTTGTCCCCCTTGACCAACTAGTGATTCTGGTCTTCCTGCTCAGCAAAGTGCCTACTTTAATAAATGCTTCTGGGCCTTTATAAAGAGACGTGTCCCCCTGAACTACAGCAGCAACCTTCTACAGCTCTCTTTGACTCATTATTATCAAAATAACCAATCAGTCCATCAGTCATGCTATTCACTAAACTAACAATTACTTCTAAGATATTTATTGAGTACCTGTTTTATGCCAGGCTGTTTGCAAGGTGCTGGGAATTTTTTTTAAAGATTTTACTTATTTATTTTCAGAGAGGGAAGGGAGGGAGAAAGAGAGAGAGAGAGAGAGAGAAATATCAATGTGCGGTTGCTGGGGGTCATGGCCTGCAACCCAGGCATGTACCCTGACTGGGAGTCGAACCTGCGACACTTTGGTTCACAGCCCGAGCTCAATCCACTGAGCTACGCCAGCCAGGGCTCAGTTACTGGGAATTTAATGAAGATAGTGCTTGCCCTCATTGAGGGCAGTGATGGAGGAGAGAGATAAGAAAACTTGCCTCACGTTGTGAGATGGGTAAAATGTAGGATACAAAGTGTAGACTTAAAAAAGAAACACGGGCTTCTGTCATGAGTAGCACATGTAGGGCAGCTTGATTGTTCTATGTGCAGAATCAACATCAAAAGATTTGGGAAGTGTAACTTTTTGGTATCTAGGCAGCTGTTGATTGTTGATATTGTGCCTGTTTGGGGGGCAGAGGAGGAGAAAGAATGAAGACTTCTGTGCTTCTATACCTGTGTTCATCCTGGGCCATTGACCTCCGGCTCCTGTCACCTCAATCTCACCTGTCCAAACACATACATTCTTCCAAGTCCAGTTTAGTGTCAGAGTGAGCCTTTCTTTGATTTACCCCAGACAGAATTAAACCTGCCTTAAATGTGGTCTTTCTGAAGTGTGGCTGTCTTCATCCATTCTAACATTAAACAAATGTTTACTGGTTGTGGACTGTGTTGCAGGTGTGTGACAATGATCAACAAACCAAAGTGCCTGTCTTCATGAAATATGGTCCAGCCCAGGTTCTTTTACTAGCCATTTGTATCTCTGGCATTCATATCTTGACTAAGCCATTTTGAAAGGCTATTATTTTTTTCTACCAATACCACCTCTTATGGCTGATGAATTCTGGAAGCTTATTCTCTGTATAGAAAAGTCCTTTGTAAATAAAAAAGCATTTAAGGGCCCCCCGCTCTGCTTCCATTGTCCTTGGCTTATCTCCATTGTAGGTCTTACTGGATTGATGTGGCAGATAATCTGTGGACCTGGTGTAGAAAACTGGCAGTGTCTAAATCTCAGATTTTGCACTTGTTAGCTGTGTAACTTTAGGCAAAGTACTTAGTCTTTCTATAGCTCACTTTTCTTCTCTGTAAATGAAGGTGATATTAGTATCTTGATCAGATGACACTTATGAGGCATTAAATGAAAAAAATGTGAGTACTCAGCACAATTCTTAGCACATAGTAAGCACACAATGATAGCCATTACTAACTCATTGTGTTATTGCTATTACATTTATAACAATTATTATTTTCATCAGAGTGTCTCTCTGTTAGATTCAAAACTTGAACAATAGGAAAACTATATCTTTAAATTTCTATATCCTTGGAGTAGCCTGACACATAGAAGGCAGTTAACAAATCCTTGCTGGTGTAGCTCAGTGGATTGAGTGTGGGCTGCTAACCAAAGGGTCACTGATTCAATTCTCAGTCAGGGCACATGCCAGGGTTATGGGCCAGGTCCCCAGTAAGAGGCTCACTAGAGGCAAGCACACATTGATATTTCTGTTCCTCTCTCCTTCCCTTCCTCTCTCTCTAAAAATAAATACATAAAATCTCTTAAAAAAATAAATAAATGGCCCTGGCTGGCATAGCTCAGTGGATTGAGCATGGGCTACAAACCAAAGCATTGCAAGTTCGATTCTCAGTCAGGGCACATGCCTGCGTTGCGGGCCGGGTCCCCAGTGGGAGCCATGTGAGAGGCAACCACACGTTGATGTTTCTCTCTCTCTCTTTCTCCCTCCCTTCCCCTTTCTAAAAAAATAAATAAAAATTAAAAAAACTTTAAAAAATAAATAAATAAATGAAGAAAATAAAGTATTGTTTATTATCAAAATTTGTTAAAATGTATATACAGTGCTTGGCAGATTGTATGAAAGTAATATACACTTGTTCCATACTTGACTCTTTGTTTGATTTTCCTGTTATATTGAAAAAATTTCCTTGGGTTCTTTAGTATGAGATTTAGTAAAAAAGATTATCTTTCTACTGACTTCATTTGGTTCTCTGAAATGTTTTAGCTTTTTTAGCTTATTTCTATGCAATGGTCTTCCTAACTTGACATCATTTCTGATTTGTTAGGTCCTAACACTTAGTTCTTTTGGTAACTAGAAAAAGATCTTCAAGTGAAATCTCCTATGAGTGTGGATGCCATCAAAAAATATTTTCTGAGTATGTGTGTGCATGTATGTTTATTCCTTTCATTAAAAACAAACATCCCTTCTAGCACTCTTCCCACCCTTTGCAGGAGGAGAGAGCTAATAAAACCAGGTGGGCAGCGAGGGTTCACTCATGCAAATCAGATCAGAGGCTGATGCAGCAGTTCTCACCACAAATGTCCAGATGATTTCACAGAGTGACAGCAGCTCCCTATAGTACTTGACTTATTTTCTGAAAGGAGCTTGGCCATAGATGAAGACGTTTTTGGTGGGACACCAGGACGTGCTTGTTACTTGCTCAGTTTTTCATACAGGAAGAGTGCTTGCTTCTCCATTTTTGGTCTTATAGCTCTTGTCTGAGCCTGACTTTTCCATGTCTGCCATCACTTCCACAGAACTTCCAGCTTGATGCTTTTTACAAAAGGTCACCCATTTAAATGGCCTTGGAAGCCACCAGGGTAGATTCTGTTACTGAACAAAGGAGGTTAGGTAAGACATTTTGTAGTGTAGAGAGTTATGTCTTCTTCATTCTCTTTGTTTTTCCTGAAATGCTCAGTTCCCTTAACCCATCTTTTTTTCCACTTGTGATGGAGACATACCAATGTGAAATATTTGTATTTGACCTTTACTGTAAGAAAACTAACACTACACTTAAGAAAAGAGGAGTTAATTGACATTTGGCTTCAGTGGCAGGGAGACTATAGCAGCTAGTGCAGTCGAGGCAAACTGCTGAATGCTTTCCCCACTTCAATGGCAGCAACCTCAACTCTGCCCCCATGGTTTGCCTCATGTGGGGTCAGAGCTTCCAGCATTTTCTGTGAAATCTCTCAATTTAAAAATGTCAAAAAGTATTTCACAATGTTAAAACACTAAGTCAGCCATTACCCTATATTACAAATGAAACAGAACAATGGACCAATGTTCAACCTCTGCTGTATTAACAGAAGTGCAAGATTAGTATTTTCACTCTTCCATACTGTTCTAGCTCTGAACAAAAACAAGATTGTAGTTAGAGCTGTCTTGTTTCCAAAAATCACTTGAATACCCTTTTAAAAAGCGAAGACTCTGTGGTGTGCTCTTCTAAGTTTATGGCAAACCTCTGAAGGATTCTATAAGATAAATGAGTTAGTTGTTTTTCACTTAGTACTAAAGGCTTAAGGGGTTTTGTGTGTTCTTACTCTTGTTTTCCATTTGGCATGCACTACTTATGCTTTAAAAAAAATTAAATTGACGTGAAGTGAGAAAAAGTTACTGGAGCCTGAAAGTTGGTTAATATCAATTACATTCTCGTGTCTAATAACCCATGCCTGGGAAACGCAACTTGTTTGTTATAAATACCCCATGCTGAATCAAGAATAAACAGCTGCTTTGTTTTAGTCGGTATTTACAGCATCACTCTAGCTACTTGGACCCTCTTCAAGGAGGTAATGAAGAGCTGGGTGCCAGTGATGTTGATAAACTGTGGCAATTTCTGCATTGTGTCCTTTAGCTGCCTCTGCTTCAGCCTCCATTATTTAAATTGCTAGTCATTACAGTCAAGCCATTAACTGGAAATGCAGCAAAATGACACATAGGAACAGGGCCAGCAGGACACTGTTCGTCCTTCTATTGAGTGCCACATCCTGGGGTGGGGAGCAACAGTCGTAAAGAGAAAACACACAAAGCAACCCCCAAAGGCATGAACACTCGTCAGTTCTTTGTAGTGCTGGTAGAATGTTGTAAGTTCACATTTGGAAGTACTTTTTGGACATTAGGCCCAAATCATAGATAATATTCCAGACTTTAAGTAATTTATATTTTGTTTTTCATCAAAATAGAAGATATCTAAGTATATTTCAGGCTGGTTTATTCTTACCCACTGGGATCAGATACAATAGGATATGGGAAAAGGAGATTGTTCAATCTGTGATGTGGAACTAAATTGAGTAATTGCCCAGTCACTTGACTCTAATCAATGCCATTTTTAGAAAAGTGCCTATTTTCTAACTATAGAGCCTCATAGGCCAAGTAACTTGTCAGTCTTCATTACTTGATGAAGACACAGTTATTACAGTGTATGACTTCAATTAACAAATGCTGTCTTATGATCTAATACAGCAATTTTCAACTGGTGTCTTGTGGCACACCCAAGAATTTTTAAAGCATGCAATACTTGACTGTTTAGTCAAGGGCACTGACCTCTTTCCCCTTAGATTGTCAAATTTTAAAAAAATGACATCAGCCAACACAACAATAGCCATCCAGTGTAAATGAATCAAAATTATACCTATTTTTTGGTGTACCACAGAATTTTAGCAATTAGTTTATATGTGCTATGAGATGAAAAAGGTTGAAAATCGTTGATCTCTTAGCACACACTCTATCCATCCTGCTCTATCTATCAGGAACTGCTTCTGGCCAGATTTTCAAGACATCAGGGAGGGAGGGATTGAAGGAGGTCTCTTATTTTCAGGGATTTTTGAAAAGACCTATAATTCCTGTTAGCAGGATATAATCTGTTGCAGCACAAATCCTTCCTTGGAAAACTTTGTCCATCATTTATTAGGGCCTTTATGTTAAAATTGAAAAATTTGGCCCTTGTGCATATTTCGGGAGGGAAGGAAAGGTCTGTTTACCCCTTTTATTCTTTTCACCTTTTCTGTAAACTACGTGTACAAACTATAAACAAATTTGTTATACATTGGAGGTCTGTCCAGAAAGTATCCAGCCATGTACTATGAAAAATCGAGACATTTATTGAAGAAGATACAAGATACAAGAAACATTTACATGGGACAATGATTCCTCAGTCCCCTTCAAAGTAGGTGCTTGCTCTTTACACAGTTCTCCTAATCGCCATCAGCTACCCTGTCATATTTTCCTGAATCTCATTGACGGTCTGAAATCTCTCATTCAAAGGTGATTTTAGTTTTGGGAAAAGCCAGAAGTTGCAGGGTGTCAAATCTAGGGTATAAGGGGGCTGAGTCTCTTAGGTGATTTGATGTTTGGCCAAAAAACTCTGCAACACAATGCATGAGCAGGCACATTGTTGTGATGAAGCTGCCAATCCACACTTGCCCATAGCTGAAGCCTTCTGAATCATCTGAATAGCTTCCGTGGAAGAAGAATGTTTAAGCTTGATGTAAAATTTGATGAAGATTTGTTGCTTTATTCAGTCATTTTGAATGTGATGGCCACACAGTACATGTGCTCACTCAACAGCACTTACCACCTCCACTGACTAGTACAGTGAAGCCATCATTGTTCACGCATGCA